GTAGTCATCACACAATCCATAAGAAGCCTCAAAAGCTCTGAAAAATTCTCTAAAATATCAATTCTATTAAATTATAAGCATTACATGGCTTTATTTAAAACTAGGAGACTTCCTAAACAAACTATAATAAAAAAAAGAAACTATTATAATATCTTTGACATTCACAACTAATCTAAGACCAAATAAGAAACAAAAACAAAAACTAATTAAATAACTTGACCCACAAGACGACCCATGGATGACCCCTACAACCCATGTTAGCAAATATGAAAATTACCAAAATACCCTTGACATAAAAATCTTATAAAATTTAAACTAATCATAAAATAAGACTCTAAAACATAATTATATAAGATTTCTATCAATGTCTCTATAAAATCATGCCAATGTTCAAGTATCATCACTTCTTTGAATTTAGCTTTCCTTGAGTTTCTTATATTCTGCATTAGATTCCTAGATCTATCTTCTTCTTCTCCTTCTTTCCCTCTTGTATTTTCTGCACTTTAACAGTCCCTAGACAGTGCCAAAATCTCATTTTTTTTCATGCTTAAACTCTAAACCATTTATTAGGGGTGTGCAAAATACCAAGTAAACCAAAGAACCAAACCAACCCGACCTCATTGGGTTGTTTTGATCTAGTTTTCGAGTACATGGATTTGGTTTCGGGTCTTCAAATCATCAACCCAATAGGATTGGGTTAGTTTTTGGTTTAGGCATTGCCTAAACCGGACCAACCTACGAACTAAACATATATATATTATGTAAAATTCTATATATATATTGACATGTCTTCTCTTAATTGTTGTTGATATGTACCATTCATAGTTGGACTTTACTATACCATTCATAATTGTTGTTGGTTGTGTTTAAGCTCGAGTTGGACTTTACTATACCATTCATAGTTGTTGATATGTATTAAACAATATTTTGTTCTTTATTTGGGCTATGTTTAAATGTTACAGACCTGTGTAGTGAAACTGTGGTACCAACTTGAACCAACCCGAGCTACATTGGGTTGGGTTACTTCTAGACTTCTAGTGCATAATATGTTTGGTTCCGAGTTGATCATGATTGGGTTGGTTCCAAATTTGGTGCCAACCCGAAGCAAACAGAAGCATGAACACCCTTACCATTTATTACCCTATACAAGCCCTACATGTCCCATATACTTTAATTGCAATTTTAGCCACAAATCTAATTAAAATCAACCCAAAAACCCACTATTGCTTTTGTCCCTAATCATCTTGCATCACCCCGTCTCATACATGGAGAGGCAAATACACTTGGTGAATAAGGTGCACAAAGACAAGCAAATGAAGTGCATTGGGAATGCCAAGACTTGATAATGCAATCCAAATGCAAATCAAGGATTAAATTGAGGGAGAGAAGACATGCCCCAATTAGCAGTAAAACCCCCAAGGGCTAGTGAGAGAAAACAAGCTCTGCTCCAATCACAATGTCTTTAATCAAAAACTAAGTACAATGGGTATTACATCACCTATTTATAGACTACAACTAAGCTACAACTACTAGGCCATCTAATCATACACTTGAGGCACTTATTCTACTACATCAGTACTCCCCCTCTTTGAAGAAACCTGTCCTCAAGTTTAAGCAGCGTAAGTAAACTCAATGTAACACTACTCATGTAACCGTAGGTAAGGAACAAGTGATGCATTTCCTTGCTTAAGAATAAACATGATTCTCACAACCTAGCCGTCTACAAATTCATTGAACTTCATCCTTGCATCCTTGGCTCAACAACCATAGGTGTGTCCATACCCTCTCGTTAAGACTCGGACGGACCCCCACTTTCAAACCCCGACACCTACAACAGCATACTTGTGCAAAAGAGTACTCATTCTGTCGGAATGAGACCAATGGGCTAGTAAATGACATCTTCCAAAGCAAGGCTGAGAAACATTGACACAATGATAGGATGGACGATGCATCCACTAAGCAAAAACACGAGTAGTTGATCACAAGCTGGAATTCGGCATTGCAAGCCTTCTGTCCTTCCTTCAGACACAAATGTGAACTACGCACACAAGAAGCAACCTAGTCAACTCAAAACAGCTTCCTAAAGAGGGCATGAAAGGAGTCCCAACGACTTATCAAAAAAAAAAAATTTATGTGAAGTTGTGAAAAAAATCCCGAATGTGCACACAAGAAGCAACCTACTCAACTCAAAACAGCTTCCTAAAGAAGGCATGAAAGGAGTCCCAACAATAAAGCATCAAACAAATTATTTGAAGTAGTGAAAAATATCAATGTCATCTTGCAATGCGACAATTGATTTACTCATTTCTTTCAACTCATCTCTTTGATTATGAGTTGGATTTGGATAGCATCATTGCTCCTTACAATTGAAAACAATTTCCTCAGCTTCTTCACCCAAAATCAATGCAAAAAACTCTCCTTCCAATAGAGAAATTACCTCAGCTTCTTCACCCAAACTCAATGCAAAAACTCTTCCTCAATCACCTCATTATCAAGCAAAACTAAGAGAATGTATCAAGCCAAACCAGTAACACTTCTCTAAAGTTGCTAAAGACTGATCCAAGGCACAAAATAGGACACTTCAGCTGTGAGACCACACAGATACAGCAACTACACATGCAGCAACTCAAACCAGAACAAAACAGATCGCAGCAAGGAAAGTCAAATGCAAAGTGAGATCTGAACAGAGAGCAAGAGAAGTCATACAACAATCACGACATGCAGAGCAACAGAAATCAAAATCAACAGGTCAAGGCTCAACACTGAACCTAGGTCAATGCAGACAGCAAAGAAGAATCGTGATCAAGATGTATCACAAGTTGCAATCGCGTTATCACAATCCAAAATTGAACGAAATTGGAGAATCGAAGTCACAATCAGCAACAAGATCCATTTACAGCTCGCAAATCCAAGAACAGATCTAGGTCAAAGCTCAATCTGCGAAGTCGAATCCATATCACAAAAACAAATCGCGAACTCAAATCTTAAGTAGCAACTCAGATCAGGACTGATTGGACGTAAGACAAACTCAAACTCAACTTTCGATTGTCTACGGTTTCTCGTACAACTTCTGTGAACTCAAATTCCAGCTCCTGAAGACAAATAGGATCTTAACAGAAGCAATTGGATCAAGTTGGATCTCCACCGTACTTTCAGATCAAATTTGGATCTCCACCAGGATTTCAGATCTTGACTAAGACAGGTTCAGATCGAACTTGGATCTTGATTAGGGCTTCGGACTGAAATCAGTTGCTGCTAACCAGAGATGACCACTAATTGAAGCTAGATTGGCAAGAACCAGGTAAAAAATCTCTTCCAATTATTACAATCAATGCAAGAATTGTAATCACAAATCAAAACCAAAAGCTCTGTGAGTTACAAACCAAGTCTGGTTATACAAGCTGGGTAAAACCCCCAAGGGCTACAGAGAGAAACCAAGCTCTACTCCAATCACAATGTATATTCTTTAATCAAAAACTAAGTACAGTAGGTATTACATCAGCTATTTATAGACTACAACTAATAGGGCATCTAATCATACACTAAAGGTACTTATTCTATTACATCAGTTGAACCTATGACCTCTAGGAACTAGAGTTCTTGTACCATGTGACACGGTCTTGTGTAGAACTCAACCTTAAAAGTTACATTGTGAAATGAGGGTACCCTCACACTTACGCACTGCACATCCTCACTGTACCTAAGCAATGTGGGACTCTGCTTCACATTTTAGATCAATCACCACTAGTCCCAAAAACTTAAGCTCTTAGGAGATGAGCCCAACAATGGCCTTGTTTGGTAGGGCTTATTTCCAGCTTATTTCAGCTTTTAGCTTAATTTAAGCTATTTTGATGTGTTTGGTTTAGCTTAACAATACAGCTTATGGCTTTTTATAAGTCAAAAATCAACTTATTCTTTGAATGGGGGAGGAGAAGCTTCATTTATAAGTCAAAAATCAACTTATGTTCACAGCTATAAGCTGTTAGGCTATAAGTTATAATCACTTTCCTACAGCTCTACCAAACGGGGCCAATATATATCAAGCTATCCAACATCCTCACTCACGTGCAAACCTGTCTAGCTTTTGGAGTTAAGTTCTAGCCAAGACTGTGTCACATGGTATCAAAACTGGACGTACCGCAGGGATGGGTAAAATGCATGTCTTGGGCCTTACATTCTAGATGTGAGGGAGGTTGTGAGCAAAGTCCCACATTGTTTGGGTACAAAGGGAATTTGCAGTGTAGAAGCATGAAAGCACTCACTTGACGAGCTAGCTTTTGGAGTTCAATTCTACTCAAAACCATACCACAAAAACATGCTTAGTGCCTAGTGCAAGGAGGGAAATGAGAATGAGAAGAGATTGAAAGAGCATCAATCAACAAAACACCTTGAGGCACCACCAAAAGCCTATAAAATGTATATTTAAGTATACATGTGCATCATAAGGTTTTGATGCCAAAAACAGAAAAAGAAGAAAGAACTAAGCTAACCATTTTTTATCTAAATGACCATATAATACAAACAACCACACCTGGGCCAAAGAAGTCAAAATCTACAGTATCCTCCAAAAGAGGCAGTGTTGGAGTGATGCTCACACCACTCCTAGACCAAAGATGCCCAAACCCATACACTTTTCCCTACTAGGACTACAATCCTGCAGCTCTCCTTTTAGGAGTTATGAGAAATACCACTCAAGCAAAAACCTAGTAGTAAAAAGCCATTCCTATATAGAAGATAACTAAAAGATCAGATTTTCTATCACTTAAGTTACATGAATGATTAGTTGAATGCACATTAATACCATACTATAAGGAACAGTACAAGTAGGTAACAAATTTACTTACAGAAGATCATTTATTGTAAACTAGAGGATTTTGTTATTGTGTCCTTTAGGGCAAATGTTAAGAAGCTTAAAAAGATTGCACATACCCTGTGAAAGTGAGTGCAATAAAAAAATGTATAATCTTTTTAACAAGACCCTTAAGTAGAAATCATCAAACCTGATTTTCCAATCGTATATTGAGAGCATCAATATTGGATATGCTACCCTTAGCTGTGGCATCTTGTGCAATAGCTTCTATCTGATGATATATGACATCAAACAATACTAAACATGAGAAAATTAACCACAGACAACTTAATCTCTATATATTTATCATCAAAAAACCAATATGTTCATAGAAATAATAATTAGATAAATATATGCATACATAAAGTTAAACAGTAGGATAGTGAAGGGTTCTTAATTTCAGGAACTATGCATCCAAACTACAGTTTAACCATAATCACATTCAATAGACTCTAACACCTTATATATCATCAAGATTTATCCAAAAGAGCCAAATTCCTGCATTGAAGATATATGTCACCAACGAAAGAGAGATAAAATATGAGCTCCACTAAGCAAATATAGGTAAGAAATGAAAGATCGCCTAACACTACTCTCAATATTTTCATCGAAGGAAGAGAAAAAATGACTATCAGTCAATGCTGGTAGAAAAGATTTCATTGATTTCATGGCTATTTTTTAAGTTTTTAATAATTTGAATTCCCAAGAAATGAAGGTACTAAAGGGATAGAAAAAGATGCAATTGGATTACAGTTGGGTTTGGGTGGTCCAAATATATCCAACTGTTGGATTCGTCTAATTCTCAAGTCTAAAGCTCTAGGACAATGCTAAACATTGATATTTCCCAACTTCAACATGGTGATAGATCAATTGGTCTTGGGTAGGCTATACTATGGTTGTTCACGAAACATGGCCTCACACACTACACACAAGAAAAATGATCCCTTTTTTCGCTTTTTCCTTTTTTTTTTTTAATTTTATTTATTTATTTTATACGTAACACAAAGCATTAGGCATTGAGTACTGGTTTGTTTGTTTTTTTGTTGGATCCTCCTCATGTTAACAGAATCAAGAAGAGAATTGTTCAAGAGTCACATTAGTTAATTCTGTTTCGTTAAAAATTGTTTTCCTTTAATAATTCACTATGTCAATGCCATCAATTGTATATATTTTCTCAAAGATCTTTTGATTCAACGTTGTTATTCACCAACCTTTTCTTTTCTCTATATGTTTATCTTTAGAGAAATGCCATATGCACAGAAAAGTGCACCAAAAAAAAAAAAATAATGTGTGATCTGGAATGAATTTGGACTCCACATTAACTTTATGTGCACCTTTTTTGTACATGTAACTTTTCTATTATCATTATTGTTTTTAGGTTCATTCATTTCTGATTATTTGGTGATTTTCTTCATATTTTAATGATCACTCTTATAGTCCTATTGTTTGGACCAACACGAATCTAGAAACTAGGGAAGTGAGATTGTTTTGTTAATTTAATGTATCGAATGATGTAATTTAAATTTTGTTTTTTATTCTAATCAATTATATTTAAATTAAGAAATTATGCGCAAGCATCATGTGTGACATTATTGTTACTATAAATAACCCAAGACAGTTCATGATAATTGGATGTGAGCTATTCCAAACATCTTAGCATTCACCTTGAAAGGAACTAGTTTGCAGCTTAAATTGGTTGTTACTCTTCGCATTGCTCCCTGTTGACACCAACATCTTCAATGTCCTAGATGTGTCCTCTTAGAAGATGCATGAACTTTAGGATAAAACTTTTGAGAGGTGAGCTAATACAAGAGATTTGGGTGAAGTCAAGCTAAAATGTTGCTCTTCATTCAAAAAAAAAATCCCTCTCCCAATGTGTTTTTTGTCGTAATTCTATAAGCCCTTTTTTCCTAGTACAATAACTATATTAAGATCACTTAATCTTCTTCTCATTGAGTAAAATAATTAAATCTTTTCAAGAATTACCCATTTTCTCTTGCCCTAACTTTTTTTTTTTTAATTTATATTGAGGACCCAATGATAACTCACATCAGCATTGTGTCAAAGTAGATAGAATAAATAAGCAAAGTTTATTGAAAAAATCTAAAAAAAGATATAAAGGTGCATCAAAACTTACAATGCCCTTATAAAAAGCAATCTGAGGAACTGTGTATTTGGTTCCAAGCTTGGACTGTTCATCCACTACATTATTCACTACACCATAGAAAATATCACCATTGTATTGGTTTCTGCAAGCCCGCAACTCCAATTGAACAACTGCAAGTTCCTTGTTTATATTCAGAAGATAATCATCAAATAGCTTTCGATGAGTACCTGAACAAGATATAAAAACAATAATCAACCGTTCAATAAACGATTATCAACTAGTAAAGCAGTACTTCAAAGTCCAAACATATATATTTCTTGTTAGTCCATTCAAAAAAAAAAAAAAAGAGTAAACCCAATTGTTTTGTGTTGGATAGCAAGAGTAATATATAATATAGAAATTAAAATTACACGGCCACCACATTAATTGAACCTACCATAGGCATCATGTCAATATAAACTTTAGAAATAAATTCATGCATATTTGAGTTTTTTTTATCATTTTTTCCTCCTGATATAAACATTTTTTATGCTTCAATTAGTTTCAGTGGCTCTCAAGTGCACTCAAATGTAGATAGGTCAAACAAGTTCTCAACAATTGAGAACTTAAATCTTTCAATTATATTGTGAGGCTCCTTAGAGCATTATAATAACACAGGAACTGCATATCTAAGGGGAACACACACACACACACACACACACATGACTGCACAACCTGTGCAGCATGGGTACTCCAAAAATATTGTCATACAAGTGTTGGATACTTACCCGATATGGGTACAAGTACCAGTATGCTGCATGCATACAGGGTACGTGAAAATACATATTTGGTAATTTTTGAATGTTGGGTAAGGCTTGTGTAATGATCAAGAAAATTTTTGAACTTTTAATTAGTATAATTGAGCTCCAATTAAGTTTAATTAATTGTAATTAAACTTAATAGTCTTTTCACAATCTGAGAGCTCAGATTCACAATCTGAAGTGGAAAGCATTGAGGATGAGCAGGCTGATCGTGATTGGGACCTCAATAGTCTTTTCAATGCTGATTGTACTATTGACGGTGAGGATATCGAGAAGGTTTCCAACTCTCTAAATCAGGTTAGTCCTTCATTTAACCAAAATTTAACATTTTCATCTTCTCATAAGGGGGTACAAGCTATTCCAGATTCTTCTATTTTTGGGGAAGGGGCTAGGGGTGGGGTTCCGGTGTTTCATTTTTCCAGACTGATTTGTCCTGTTCTTGAGGTCTCATCAGTTGATATTATTGAACAAGGGGTTACCTCTGAAATCCCTGGGGCCATTGTGAATGAGTCTACTATTGTGTCTGAGTCCTTACATGCTAATATTTCTCATGGTCAGGTGCATGGCAATCAAGGCAGGGTCTCAGGCAATCATTTTGACAAGGGGGTACAAGTTTTTAGTGAAGGAGAGGAAACGGAAAGATGGTTGAAGGAGTTGAGCAAGTATGAGACTCGCCCAATTGAGGACAAGGACGCCCCTTTTATGCGGTTACTTCAAGTTATGGGATTGTCATTAGTAAAACTCAAGGGGACTTCTGGACCATTTAGTAAGAATAATAGGATCACAAAGGAGAAAGCTGTTAGAAAGGTAGGAGAGAGTAGCAAAAAGGGGGCAAGGGAACTAAGGAATTTAGCAAGTTCAATTAATTATGAGGGGAGGCGAGAGGAGGTAAGGGGTGAAAATGTTTCCCAATAAAGATTATTAATTGAAATGTAAGGGGTTGGGTTCTCAGAGAGAGAGGAGTGTTATTAAGGATTTTCTAAGGAGTCATCAACCGGACATAGTTGTTTTTCAAGAATTTAAAGTAGAAGTGTGTGATAGAAGGTTCATGAAAAGTCTTCGGGGAGTTAACGTAGGAGATGGGTTTGTTTGCCTTCAGTTGGTAGATAGGGGGACATTTTGGTTGTGTGAGATAAGAGAGTTGTTTCTGAGTAAGAAACTATATTGGGGGAGTTTTCACTATCAATTAGGTTTAGGAATCTTGACAGTACAGAGTGGTGGTTGACTAGGGTTTATGGACCTAATAGGCCTTCTAGGAGAAGGGATTTTTGGGAGGAGCTATATGGGTTATTTGGGTTGTAAATTGGTGTTTAGGGAGAGATGTTAATGTGGTTAGGAAGAGTGCAGAAAATCTCAATGGGATTAGATCTACTAGGGTATGAGGGATTTTGATTTGTTTATAAGAGAATACGAGTTGGTGGATCCTCCTTTGTGTAATACAAGATTTATATGGTCTAATGTGCAAGAAAATTTAGTGTGTTGTAGACTGGATAGATTTTTATATTCCTTGGGGTGAGAAGGGTTTTTTCCAATTTAAGGTAGGAATCGCTACCTAAATTAATTTCAGATTATTGTCCTATTGTGATAGAAAGTTGCCCATTAAAGTAAGGACTGATGCCTTTCAGATTTGAGAACATGTGGCTAGAGCATCCATCTTTTGAATGAAATTTTGAGGAATAGTGGGCCAATGCTAGTTGTTATCGATGAGAAGGTTTTAAATTTATAAGAAAGTTGAAGATGGTCGAGGAGAATGTGAAAAGCTAGAGTAGGGAGGTTTTTGGGAATTTGGAGTTTTCAAAGAAAGAGGTGATGAGCATAATCGAAGAGCTAGATTGCTTCGAGTTGCAGGGGGTTGAGCTGAGTCAATTAGGAGGGAAAGATTTGAGTTGAGATTGAAATTGGAAGAGTTGGTTTTAGGGAGCAAATATCTTGGGCTCAAAAAGCAAAGGTCAAATGGTTGAAGGAAGGGGATGTGAATTCAAAAAAAATTCATAGGGTGGCAGATGGGAAAAGAAAGAAGATGTTCATCAAGAGATTAGAAGTGAGCCTAGGGGTAGTAGAGGAAAGGGAGAATTAGATTGTTAGTGGAATTTATGGCTTCTATTCTAAGCTTTATTCAAAGGAGGAGTTGAATAGACCGGGGAGTGGTTCCCATTGATCAGACAATTGCATCGTGGCTTGAAAGGTCATTTGACGAAATGGAGGTGTTAAAACCTATCACCTACTTCACCCACTTAAACCTACTCCACTAAACCTAACCCACTACACCACTACCACCTCACCTATTCCACTAAACCTAACCCACTACACCACTACCACCTCCACTTCACCTACTCCTTACCTACTACACACTCACCCTCTTCTATATATAGGAATCATGAATCATTGTAATAAATATAACATTCAATCAATCAATAATACATTAATTTTTTACAAAATCAATAATACAATCATTTCTCTTTATACATTAAATTTCTACAGGGAGGTAGTCTTCGATTGTGAAAGAGACAAAGCTCTAGGTCCGGACGGTTTTTCCATGACCATCTTTCAGGACTGTTAGAAGGTGGTGAAAGGGGATTTGTTGGGAGTTTTTTCAAAATTTCATGAGTCGGGGGTTGTTAATTTGAGCTCAAATGCCACTTTCATTTGTTTAATTCCTTAAAAAGTGAATGTTGTAAGAATTTGAGATTTTAAGCCCATCAGTTTAGTCACATTACTTTATAAGATTGTAGGGAATGTTTTATCAAAAAGACTAAGGATTTCTTTGGGGGAGACTATGTCTGTGGCGCAAGGAGCTTTTGTGAAAGGAAGACAAATCCTAGATATAGCCTTAATGGCAAATGAAGTAGTGAAGGAATATAGAAGTCTAGGGAAGGAGAGACTTATTTTTAAGGTGAACTTCGAGAAGGCATATGCCCATGTGGATTGACAGTTTTTGTATTATGTAATGGGCAAGAAGAGTTATGGTGGGCGGTGGAGATCTTGGATTAGTGGATGTTTGTCAACGTGCAATAATGGTAAACCAGGGGATTGCTTCAAGGCTTCGTGAGGGTTACAACAAGAGGACCCACTATCTCCTTTTCTTTTTATTTTGGTGGCTGACATACTGGGAAGGATGGTTGATAGAGCTAAAGAAGGTCTTTTTGAGGCAAGAAGAGTTATGGTGGGCGGTGGAGATCTTGGATTAGGGATGTTTGTCAACGTGCAATATGTCATAATGGTAAACCAAGGGATTGCTTCAAGGCTTCGTGAGGGTTACAACAACAGGACCCACTAACTCCTTTTCTTTTTATTTTGGTGGCTGACGTACTGGGAAGGATGGTTGATAGAGCTAAAGAAGGTCTTTTTGAGGCAAGAAGAGTTATGGTGGGCGGTGGAGATCTTGGATTGGGGGGGGGGGGGGGGATAGAGTTAGTGTGACACATTTGCAATACGTGGATGATACCATATTTTTCTCTTCAGAGGATGAAAGTCAGATAGTTCACCTTTATTCGATTTTGAGACTTTTTGGGATAATCTCAGGGCTTAAGGTTAATTTGGAGAAAAGCTATATAGTGGACATTAATATGCAACAAGATCAGCTTCAAAATAAGGCGGCACTTTTAGGATGTGGTATAAGTCACTTCCGTTTAAGTATTTAAGTCTTCCATTGGGGAGCAATCCTAGAGTGAAGCTTTTTGGAATCCAGTTGTGCAAAAGATTGGCAAGAGGTTGGAAGGGTGGAGTAAGGCTTTATTGTCACATAGGGGTAGATACACATTGGTTAAGACGGTTTTGAGTAGTATTCCTATTTATTTCTTATCTTTGTTCAAGATTCTGAATAAGGTGGCAAGGGCACTTCAAAAGTTGATGAGGGATTTTCTTTGGGAGGGCAAGGATGAGGGGAAAAAGGATCACCTGGTGAATTGGGATTTAGTTTCGTTACCTAAGGAGAAGGAGGGTTTGGCTATTGGTAACATTTTGGCTAGGAACATGGCCCTTCTTGGCAAGTGGTTATGCAAGTTTCCACTTGAGAGCGATTCACTATGGCATTCGGTTATTAGAAGCATGTATGAGGCTTAAGACAATGGTAGGGATTCACAGGTGGTTCTGAGGGTTAACTGTCTCACTTCTTGGAAATAAATTTATCAAATCTACACATGTTGGTCTCATCATCTTTCTATAAGGGTGGCAATAGGAAAATTGTTCATTTTGGGAGGATGTTTGGATGAGTCAATCTTCTTTTGCTTCTGATTTTCCACATCTCTATAGAGTGGCTCGATCTCATAACTCTTTTATTGCTTCCATGACTTGTTCACTTTTGACTCCAATTTCCTAGAATTTTGATTTTTCTAGGAATCTTAATGATAAGGAAGCTTCACAATTGACTTCTTTGTTGTCCAAAATTGATAGTTTTTCTTTGCCTCCTCTTTTGGAGGACAAGAGGG